TATATATATATATATATATATATATATATATATATATATATATATATATATATATATATAAATGCTTTGTAAACCTACCATTGTATACTATGAATATTGTTGGATGAAAGCTATTTAATCAATTTAATTTAATCTTTTTAATTTTAATGTTAATATGAATTTTTTATTTTATAAACTAATTTTTAATTTACTTGTATTTTATTTATTTCACTGTAACTACAATATAAACTGCCAGACTATATATATATATATATATATATATATATATACACTATGAATATTGTCTTATAAAAGAGATGCAATTGAAATTTTATTTCATTACATTTTTAGTGTTAATATTAATTTAAATTTCAATAAACTAAATACATTTTAATTTAATTTTATTTTATTTTGATTACTGTAACTACATTATAAACTGGCAGACACTAATTTGGACACTCATTTTTATAATAATAATAATTATTATTATTATTTATATATAATATACTTATATACTGCTAAAATGTGAAAATAATATAAAATGTATAAATATAAAATAATAAATAAAATACAAGTACATGTGTCCAAATTATTGACCACTGGTTAAAATAAAATAAAAACACTTTTATCCAAAGCGATGAGGAATAACGTTGTTTGAAGTGTGATTTATCAATGATATTCAGCAATTCTTTCCTCCATCAAAGGCCCTTTTATTCTTTATCCTACGAGTCTAATTTGTGTCTCCTTAATTTAATCAATCATTAGGTACTTGTTTAAGTGCTGAGCTGGATTTTAGTCTGAAAGAAGTGTTGTGAATAGTGTTCGTGTGTCACTGATTGAACATTCATAGAGGTTATGAATTAACAGTCTTTATCTACTGACATGAACTGAGTGGACACGACAACGTCTGCAATTAAAGAGCTGAATTAAATCTTACATTTTCATTCCTGCCAACCTCGACCTTACAGTTCCTGAAAGATTGTCTGTCATTTCAGGATAAAAACCTTTCCTAATTTCTTCTAAAGCTGCAGAATATTCAGCCATCCCTGGACGTCTCACTCCATGTGACTCGGCGCTGCTATTCTGTCCTTAAAATGTCGAGTCAGTGTGTGACTGTAGTGTTGTGTGGTTTTGATTGGCTCATAATGTGGTCTAAAGGGCTCTTGTAAGTTAGACTTACTGAACACACTCTCTAGTGTTCATAAGAAACCAGAGCCGCTAAACAGCAGCAGCAACTGAGTCCAGTGATTTAATGCAGCCGCTCGTTCCTACTGCACACTACATTCTCACGCCCACAACGTATATGCATTCATATACGGGATGAAATATTAAACTCACTTTATTTGAATCACAGTGATCCTCCAGGAAGTGACATCATTTTGGTGGGAAAACAACAGCTTCATGGTTTGTCACTCTAAAAAAAATCCTGTTAAATAAAGTTACATAAATTAGTTTGATAATGTCAGTGCAATATATATTACACAATATAAACACACACGCACGCACACACACACACACGTGTATATATATATATATATATACACACACAAATATAATAATGAATAATATTTTTTATAATAATATTTTCATGTAAAATATTACATAAAAATATTAAATTAATAAAATATTGAATATAACTATATTTACATTTATTTATATTTCAATTAAAAAATCCAATATATTAAAATAAAATAAAATATTACACACACACTAAAATCTAATAATGAATAATGCAATATTTTAAATATTAATTTTGAAATATTAATTTTTAATATTTAATGAATATCAATTTATATAAAATATATATTTAAATTTAAAAATGAAATTTTAAAATAAAATTATATACACACATATTAAATATACAATATTACACATATATATATATATAAATAATGTTATATATACACCTTGACAGATGTAAATTATAATGCAATCTATAATTTTTTAAAATAGTAAAATTACATTCATTATCCTCTTGTATCATTAATTTCACCACATGATAAGGTAACTTACTGCCAACCATTAATAGATTTTCATGTTCAGTGTCATCAGGAGTCCATCAGAAGGTTTTTTTTTTTTTTTTTAAATGAAACGAGTCTCTTCTTGAACTAGACAAAAGCAGAGAATGAAATGCAGATGAGATATTGAAGGAGCTCTGGCTGATTAGCATAAAGGTGAAGGGTTTCCGTCGGCTGAGGTTTGGTTTAAATGCAGCATATTCCTCAACGCTGTGAGATCACGACACTTAAAACAAAGGCAGAAATGCCAGCGGGGTCTGGAGCATCTTCCTGTTCCTCCTTCAGGATTCAGCAGGACGAGTCGGGCCAGAGCTACAACAGGAAGATGCAAAATCATTCATGCAAATAAACTGATTTTAGGCCCTTTTTACTCAGGTCAGTGATTCATTATGAGTGAACAACAATAGGCTTTATAAATGACGATAAAAGAACAGAAGCCTCATTTTCAGAACAACATCCAGCAGGTGTACAAAATAATGAAATAGTTGTATAGAAGTGAGTGGAATGAAGAGCAGCAGCTAATCATAATAAACTTGGAGAACGTTATCCTTTAACATTCTTATATATACTGTATATATATATTGTCGCGGGGTGAATGAGAACACAGACTCGGTACTGGTCGAAAGAGCCCCGGAGGGTGATTTATTTGCCCACACACTGATCACACGTGCCCTTGATGACTGGTGCTCGGTGCCCGTCTCACACTGGTGCTCGTGGGGTGAAGTGCCGTGGTGCAGATCCCTCTCCCTGGGTGCCTTCAGAGTCTGTGAAATAAGGAGAACAATCGTTAATGCTGCCTGGTGCTCTGGGGTGCTCTCCCGCTGGTGTCTCTTCTCCTGGCTTTTAAGGCCAGCGGGAACGAGCTCCAGGTGCGCCACTCATCGCGCACAGGTGTTGTGCTTCTGTGATCAGTGTGGCAGCAGCGTTTCCAGGGCGATGCTAATCTGGACTCGCGATACTCGCCACAATATATATATATATATATATATTCATATTGTACATATTGCATTATGAACCCACCGAGAGCAGCCTCACCTCGGCCAGATCTGGAATTTGCCGCTAGCTCTGATGTCTCTATAGTGGTTAAACATGAGATATAATTTGTTTTGGGTAATTCTAATTGGCAGTCTTTGGTCTCATTAATCTATTATTTGTTCCAGAGCAAATAGTTTTGGCCAAGAGCAAAATCTCATCACGTTATATTTTATGTAACTATAATGTTGTATGTCAGAGCGCTTCCTTTGTACTTTTGACTGAATTGCCTAGCAACTTTTATGATGGCTGCTGTTGTTTATTCAATTTTATTATTCAATAAATAATATTTTATATAAATAATAGGATTTAATAACAGTATTTGGTATTGGGAAACAGTGTGTGTGTTTGTGATGGTGATTTTAGTGACATTATTTCTCCATTAGATGGCGACAAGAGTCAGCACTCAGACTTTTATATTGAAAGAGACTGAAACAGGGTAAACAAGGAAGTTATTTTTACTTTCAACAACAGCTTGTAAGATGCAGTTAAGAAATGCAGTCAGCAGCACTGTCATCAGAAATCACCCGTAACAGATGAAAGATAGTGCGACAAAGATATCGCTTTCCTCAGCGGACATTCATGGTTTTATTGTGAATATGAGATTGAGTTGAAGAATGAATGCTGGATCAGATGCAGATAATCACACTCACTCAGTCAATCTCTCTCATAATACTCTACTCCACATAATACACTGCTTTTAATACAGTGATACAATAAGCTTTCAATAAAGCGACTCGACGTTCCTTCATTACTAGTTCTAAAGTGATGTTTAACAGCTGATGAGCTCAGCTGTTAAACTGTCAAACAGAGATTTCAATCTGTGGCGGAAGGAAGTAGTTCTGCAGAAAAGAGGGTTTTAAAAGACACTCTGTTGTTGTTTTCGTATATACTTACACACTCGTGCCGTTGAACTGTTGAATAAACGCAATATCACACTCGTAGCCGTGCAATATGGCTGTATATCGGCACGCTGTGATTACCTACGACTGATCGCCGTGCCGATATACAGCCATATCGTACTGCTACTTGCCTGATATTGCTCACACACACACACACACACACACTTTCTTTTCTATAACATTCTTTTCTATAAAAAAACAACAATAACTTACTTTTGCATGCACTATGTTGTGGTTACTAACCAGTTTAGCTGGTCAATGCCCAATGACAAAAGGATGCATAAATAAGGACAAAAATGTAACTTTTAACTGAAGTATGACAGCTCACCCAAACTGATGATGGCAACCCTGGCATACTAAAACAGTGCACTATTAAAGCATCATCTCTGACTCGAGAGGCGTTTTTTTCTGTCAGTGCTGCACATAGAAAAGAGAAAAATAAGATTATACAAAAATGATTACTATTGCTCTTACTTACATATTATTATATGCTGCGGTTACCAGGCATTTTACCAAAATTTATGAATTCTTGATATTTCTCGTAACCTTTGACTCCAATCAATATGTTTGCCACTGTAATGTCGTTATTTTTCATTTGATATGCGCTCAGAAAATCAATTATTAAAGAAAGCCATTATTTTGCCACTAAACCCCCATGGAACATAACATTTATGATTCATGGAATACATATAATGTAATTAAGAGGTCTGAAGTGAATGTATTTGCCTTCATTTGCATTGGTGTGT